ATGGCCTCCAACCTAATAGCCATGACCTCCAACCTAATAGCGATGGCTACTAGCGATGGCCTCAAATCTACTAGCGATTGCCTCCAACCTAATAGCATTGGCCTCCGACCTAGTAGCGTTGGCCGCCAACCTTCCAACCTAATAGCGATGGCGCCTCCAACCTACTAGCGTTGGTCTCCAATCTACTACCTCCCCCCCCAGCTTGAGGATTGCATCTTGGGCATGATCGCCGTGCGCTTCTTCTATTTGCTGATGCAGCCTGGGGAGTACCGTTTGGAAACACAGACTGGAGAGGTGAAGGAAAAACAAATCACATGTGGATGGTTGAGAAATTGCTGACAACCAGGAACGACGCCAACCAAAGACAGCAAACGTTTCCCAGCGCTTGTTGAAAGAGGTGACCGCATGCTCATCAAGGAGAACAGCCTGGTCACCGATTCTTGTCGTTCTATACTGAACTAGTGAAATTGATTTGAGATGAAAGACTTGAGGGTCATAGACCCGTCAAGGCTGTCATCGGTTAGTAGACGTTCACACCGTCAATGCAGAGTCATAGAGCTAAGGATTGGTTCTACATGGTGCGGAAGTTCAAATGGTCTGTGCTCGCATCATTCTTAGAGCTTTTATATGATGGCATCATCGATGTGCAAAAATGTGATCAATCATGGTAGAGGCCATTACTATTAGGTTGGAAACCATTGCTATTAGGTTGGAGGGCCATCGCTGATCGAGGCCATTGCTATTAGGTTGGAGGCCATCGCTAGCAGGTTGGAGGCCAAGACTAGCAGGTTGGAGGCCATCGCTAGTAGGTTGGCGGCCATTGCTAGTAGGTTGGAGGCCAGGTTGGAGGCCATCGCTAGTAGGTTGGAGGCCAAAGTGCTAGCAGGTTGGAGGCCAAGACTAGTAGGTTGGAGGCCATCGCTATTAGGTTGGAGGCCAACGCTAGTAGGTTGGAGGCCATTGCTAGCAGGTTGGAGACCATTGCTAGCAGGTTGGAGACCATTGCTACGTAAATTTAAATCATTATATATATATATATATCCATGAAGTCCATCCCAGTCAGAGTGGCCAGTGTTGCACGACACTGCACGATGCGGGGCTGTTGGCACCGTGGGCACCATGGGCTGAGATCAAAAGTGGTTGGGCTCCAATCTTCTTTGGGTGTGGCACTCGAGCTTCTCTTCATACGTTTTTCTCACCCGGTCTGTGCAGAATGTATTCATCTTGGCTAACCCTTGGTTTCTAAGTCCAGGCCGAAGGAGGCCGTTTGGGGTTCAACGATGAAAGAGATTATTTTCACTTGGAATTTTACTGGCTTGTGTTCCTTTCTGTTCTCCGGCTTTCTTTTAGAGACGGGCGCGTGCAGTGACGGCTCTGCTCAAGTTCTAATTCTAGGACATGGGGCCTCCTCTCTACGGACATGATGGTGTTTGCAACCCAGCCCGTTGCTGCTGACACACTGAGCGTGCACACGTCCCCCTTTGGCACGAGGCGCCACAAAGCCAAGGTCAGCTCCCTAGATTTCTTTCTTTGGCTTGTCCACCAGAGGTGTGGACCAGTTGTTCTTGCCTCACAGACTGAACAAATGGTCACAAACGGACCCACTGAAGTCTTAGAATTATTAAATATCACAGGAATGTTAAACGACATTCAGGAAGTGGAGTTTCTGGCATGGATGCACGAGTGACACTGTTAAGGCCCGAATCGATAGGGTGCGTGTGCACTAATTACTTATTCTTTGGTTGTCTAGAGTCTAAAGTTTGCCTCAGGTTACTTCCTCCTTCTTCCCCAACTTTATTGACCTATTCTCACAATCAGGACGTAGCCTTCTTTTCTTCCATATGACATGTTTCTCACCCTCCCTCTCTCTCCTTCTCTGTTTTTGTTTATCGGTTCTTTCTCTCAGCATCTCCTCTCCATCCGCGGCACTCAGGCCAAAAGCGGAGCTGTCAAACAGGCCCGATGATGCAGGCGATGCCCCCCAGGGTGCCTGGTATTTCCGGCGAGGCAAAAACCAGATATCTCAGATATATTTGCTGCGCGACAAAGGCCAAGGCTCATTCTCCTTGTAGCCCATGGAGGTGGTCGTACAAGACCATGATCAGGAGCTCGAGCTGGGGCCAAAGCGTAGCTTGTCTTGCTTGGAGGCCTTGGAGCAAGGCTGAGACATGCATTGTTGCCGCTTTCCATCCTGCCACTTGGAATTCCACATCGTTCACATTCCAAGTGGTCACCATGCCTTTCAAAGGCGTGGCTCATGTGCAATCTGCCGAGGAAGGGCACTTTCACTCTCCAGCTTGCCTCCTTCACAAACAAATTAAACCAACCGCGGCAATGCCTCCTTGCTCGAGCGTCTCGGCAGTTTCTGCCGACACCGCGCACAACCAAAGCTACTGGCGCGAGATACCATCTGTGACCACAATGATCAGGTGGCACATGAAGAGTATCCTCGACCAGCTCATTCATCCGAGTTCAGCCTCTTTCAATGCAATTTCCTCGTGTGGCACATCCCTTGATGCGTCTCTTGCACTTCCCACATTGAAGCCCACCTTTGAAGACTTCCCACTTGTGCTGACCATGGGGATGCTCTCTTTGGGCCAAGCGTCGGAAAACATCAACCCGTCCCAACGGCTTCTTGTGATTGACATGGAGCTTGACCGACGTGGGCATGAGCTCGCCATGCATGAAATGCTCTTTGTCTCGGATCAGTTGCAGCGGCATGCCTCCTTTAGCTCCTGTAGTGGCCCATGGGGTGTGTCCCTTGGCAGCAGTGACGGTAATCTCATAGAGCTTCCATGCCTTGTCATCATGGCTGGTGCTTTTGAGGAGCTTCACAGGTACATGCAGAAGCTGCAATCGCTGCCATTCCTCCTCCCTGCTGTAGCGAGCGCCAAGCCGCTGTGTGAGGGATGTTGAGTTGGTGCTTTCCCATCACAGCTTGAAGGAGCACCCAACAGGCATAGAACACATAGAACCAGCCGCGAACAGCAGTGGGGTGGCAGGTAGCGATGAATGTGCATGTGCCATCCACTGTCCATGCATGCTCATCCCAGTGCACAATTGCAAGTGCTGCCACATAGCGTCGAAGCCTGGTGTCACAGCAGGTTGACTGAACTGCCATTGCAATCCTCTGATCAAAACGCAGTCGCAGGAACCAGCCATGATCAAAACACCCATTGACCTCCACCGACTCCATGCCATCCACAGGCCTGAAATCTAACAGCTCCACCATGCCTCTTGCTCAAAGCATTTGGTCCTCATTGGCATTGACGCACTCCTGAGGCAGGTCCACCGTCATGGTAAGCACATTGCCAAATCAGGTGCTTCATCGTTTTTGGCAGACAACTCTCTGTCCACCATGATGTGTGCGAACTGTGCGCTGAGAGGAAGTGCACTTCCTGCTGAATTGATGGAAGATCGTCCAATCCAGGCGCCTGCTCATGTTCCCACAGTGTTCTTGCTCCTGGAGATGATGAGCCCTCTGGTTTTGCAGCTCTCTCTCTCTCTCTCCCTCCTCTGAGTGGTGCAGAAAGGTGCATTATTTCACATACGTATATATGTTCTCTCCAAATCCTGTGCAACGGCTTTTCAGAATTACTCAGAAGTGCCAGATCTTGTGGAGCTTAACCGGAAGCTGCGGGCGTTCATATGCCATCTTCCCAATGGATGCGGCAGTCGAGCAAGAGGCGTGACTGCTCGAGCAAGAGGCATGATTGCTCGAAAAGCGAGTCTCCGAGATGGGTCCATGATGGATGTCAGAGCCACGATGGGTCCATGGATGTCTCCATTGTAGGTCTTTTTGGAAGACAGGCACCACTCAAACGACAGCGACATGTTTGGCAGACTCGGGTCGAGTTGCGCTCGCTTGCCGCCTCAAACCGAAGAACGCATCTAAACCGTAGGCTCTGTTTTGCCTGGTCGAGCCGCCTTGCCATATCGCATCTTGTACCCCACGTCCTCTTTAAGAAGGCTGGCCCTTTGCATGATCGATTTGGTTCCTAGATTTCTTGTGTGAACTTGTCCACCGCTTCATCCCTACCACACATCCTTTGCGCACATGAACTTGTGCAAAGGAATCCTGCCTCTACCATCTGGACACATAGACATAGACCAAAACATCGAAAGAACATGCTTTTGGAACAAGTGGACTAAATGGACCTTCATTTGATCATGGAGAGTTGAACTTGATGAGGTCTGGACCGACTGTGCCGAGCTGCCGCATCTTGGTCGAATCCGGACGTTTGAAGAAATACAGGCGCACACGCCATTTTCGATTGTGTTGATTATGCTCGCCTCCACAAACCTGGAAACCACGAACCATCACGAACCAGACTCACAGGAACTGTGGGGATGTATCCAGGTGGACAGACACCTTTGATTCCAACTCTTAGGGATGCCTGGTTTTGAGAGAAAACTGATTCACTCTACTGGGTGACAGAACAACTCTGACGTTGACGATGCTGAAGAGTACTGGTGGGGAACTCAGTGTAGCGTCGCTCCAACAGAGGCGGAGCTAGAGGATACTGGAAGGTTGATCATGTTGGTACCGAACAGGACACAAGTTTCAGGAGGAAATACATTTCTTGTATCAAATCGCTAGTAGTGTCCTTATATAGACGTGCATTCCCATTTGCGGACCTGATCAGGCAGCGGTTGCTCACTGTGTTTGACCACACTCGGGAGGCTCATGGTTCAGGGAAGATGCGCGACTGAAGCAGTGGAGCAGCTTTGGATTGTTTTTTTGTCGAGTAACCCCTCGTTGGCTTTGTGATCTTTGTGGTTTTCATGTGTAGGCAGGTTTGTCGGTATGCGGATGTGACGTGCCTCAAAACAGAAGAATCACGACTATTACTCAGCACTCCTTGTCGAGAGAAGCCGCGCCTCCTTTATCTTGAAGTCTTGTGCATCAGTTTGTTTCTACTTCGAGATATCTTGGGACATGTTTTACTGAGAATCCCTCCTGAATAATATGAAGCCCTCCTGATAATACATTTGCTTGGCTGGAAGAGACGCAAGTGGTATCAAATAAATAGAGGTCGGCAAAGGGTTGAGACAGAGCCTAAAAAGCCTTTGAGAATGAACTGGAGTACGCGCCAAAAAAGGAAATCCAAATCCTTCGAGCACAGGATATGGTGTATTCTTGCCCTATGGCCTACACTTACGTGGCATCGCTTCTGGCACTCTCACAGGCTCGTGCAAGTCATGAGTTGGGAGACCCCAACGTGGGAGGTTTCTGGGCGCACCATTGCAACCAAGTACTGGCGATGGCCTCCAACCTAGTAGAAATGGCCTCCAACGTACTAGCGGTGGCCTCAACCCTACTAGCTGGCGCACAATTCAAGTGTGCGCTCTTGGTCCCTTGAGTCCCTTGCCTTTTCGGGAGGCATTTGAAGACCCGATTGACACCGGGTCTCCTGGCGGATCCTGGGGTTGGAAAGGAAGCCCGGCTGTTTCAACTGCGCATGTAGTCAGACCTGTGGTCCCGGGGGGTGACGCGTTCTGTGGCCTTTTACGGAAACAGTGGTATCCCTACTTCTACTAGCTTCTTGTTACTACTAGTGCCTTTTACTGCTCGGTTTGGAGGGTTGAAGGTTAACATTATCCCTTATCTGTTGGGGAGGTCCCAGATGCACAAGTAATTCGCGGTGTGAGATTGTACGGGTTGTGACATGGTGTGACCATGTTGCCGAGCAACTAACTCCAAGATCAATGAGAAACCACCTCGCCAATGTGGGCACCCAGTCTGTTGCAGAGGGGCTGGTGCATGGATTCGTAACAGGTGCCACGCTAGTAGTAACAGGTGCCTTACTAGTAGTAACAAGAAGCTACTAG